TTTGGAGAAATACGAGATTTCTGTGGCGCAGGGAGATTGGGGAGAGAGATATGATTTGTATTGTAGATCGGATTTGCACAACGTGGTGATCAGTTATTTGAAGTTGTTTGTCTGTAGACTATTGAAATTGATAAAAACGGTATACAGTTTTCCATAAAGAAGAGAAACGACAAGGGGTCTGTATAAAGAACGAGCCGCTCCATGGTCAAGGCCCATTTGCATTTCATATATCACACACATCACATATTATTTATGGGAATTCGGCCAAAAAAAACACGAACTTTGCACAAATTGCCAAAAGAAACATGTACTCGACCCTGACCAAAATAATACTATACTTTTGTTGACTTTTTAATTTTATTAAGAAACTTTTGATTGACTGGCTAATTTAACACACCGTTAATTCGCAGTTTAGACATTGTTAAATTGCCGTTAAATCTTGCCATTAATTCGCAGTTTAGACATTGTCGTTTTACATGATTCGAAAATAAAAAACATAGACCCTTGGATTTGAACCAAGGTTGGCTAAGTCAAATGACATGGTATTTTGCCACTGGGCTAATGTTACTTTCATTGTATTCACTAACATATTTTGTTTTATTGAGTACTTGAATATAAAATATCTCTAATAAACTTAAAAATACCTTTAAAATTACAAAAAAAATTGAAAAAGAAAGATTATTTTATAAAATTAATTTTGAAATTAAAATGAAAAACAAAATTTCATTTTTTTCTTTTTAAACAATTAAAAATCTTCCAAAATTTTCAAGAAAGTTTAATTTTAAATTAAATTATAAATAATTTTATTTTTATACTAAAAATGAAAAAAATCGAAAAATTTAAAACAAATCCAAAAAATTTAAAAATTCAAAGAAAAAGCAAGCAAATTAAAGTTACAAATATCAGCTTAAAATTAAAATCGCACTCATAATGGGTACAATAATTATTTTAACCATTTTCATTTTAAATGAAATTTTTTGAAGATTTTTGATTTTTTAAAAGAAAAATGAAATTTTATTTTAAATTTTAATTTCAAAATTAATTTTATAAAAAAATCTTTATTTTTCATTTTTTTGTAATTTAAAGGTATTTTTAAGGCTTTTAGAGATTTTTTTATTCAATAAGTACTCAATAAAACTAAATATGTTAGTGAATACATTGAAGTAATTCTATCCCAGTGGTAAAGTACCATGTCATTTGACCCTATTAACACTGGTTTGAATCTAGGTGTCTACGCCTTTTTATTTTCATTTAACTCGGATGAGAGAATGTTAAAAACAACTCTGTTCGTTAATGTACTGTAAAGTCTAGTAGCCCAGCGGTAAAGCCCCTACCATAATCCCTTATTTCACAAGTTCGAATCCCTTGGAGCACGTTTTCACATTTTATTTTTAAAAGCAAAAACACATAAAACGACGTCGTTTCATCATAACACCCAAATTTAACGTCGTCAAAAAAATCCGTTAACAAAGTTAACGGTGTGTCAAATTGATCAGTCAATCAAAAGTTTCTTAATAAAATTTAAAAGTCAACAAAAGTATAGTGTTTTTTGGCCAGCCCATATGTACATATTTCTTTTGGCAATTCGTGCAAAGTTCGTGCTTTTTTTGGTCAAATTCCCGATTATTTATTGTATAGATTAGTTTAGCTTGTGTGATTTTATTACGACTAGATCCGCGGATAATTTACTTGGAATTTTTTTTGGAGAAATGAATATACATGATTCATGTATGTAAAGTATAAAAAACATATAAGCTGATAAAAGTGTTTGAGTTGAAGACATTGTATTTGTTAAACCATAATGTGAGCTTGTGTTGATGGTAGTCTATGGTTTGACGTTTTTTCTTTTTGATTGTGTCTTTATAAATTTCTATGAAATTTATAAAATTCTCCATATTTTCTGATGGTGCTGAAACTTGTTCCTTGAATAAAGGTGAATATCAATTTTTCTAATATTAATCAAAGTATTAAGAGAATATTACTGAAGTATTAATAAGTTGATTTGTTATCTTTTATTATTTTAGAATTTATGAATGTGGCTAAGACAATACCATATTTGTGTGAATGATGTGATTTCAGAAAGAGCAGGAAAAAAAAAACTTTAAACGCTAGTGATAACTTAGGCAAAATTTTAAAATGTGTATGAAAAAAAGTTCAACCAATACATAAATTTCCTTTTCTGTCACAATATAGAGGAGACTATTCTAAAAAGAGGTTTGTAATTTGAATGGTACGAAATGGAGGCCCTGATGGCCTTTTAAATCATTTATAATCTTAAATGCATGTTTAAGTATCATCATATAGTAAAAAATACGTACGTGACCTTAGTTAAGTTGGGATCTTGGTTCTCTAACGCGAGGGTGAAGATATGATCCTTTCATAGACGCCTAAGTTTTGGTGATAGTGCTAATAGTTAAATCAGAAACATATTTAAATAAATGTCAAAAGATTTGTTTATTACCTTCATATGATAGTAGATTTTTGAAATTTTATTTATACAATATTTTTGGTGTGATTTTATACAATATAGTCTTCAATTTTACTATAGGTGAATATTTTCCTTGTAAAATTGTCATTCCTGTTTTGTTTATAACACGTTAGATAGCAGGACATAATTATCCATGAGTGAAAATTGGTTTTGGTAAATATAGGAAAATCCTTTTTAAGCTTAGACCTTAGTTCTTATTTATTGTCATAGCGTAACATGGTTTGATAAGACACTGGTGTCTATGTAGGAGAAGTCTTTTACCAACGTGAGAACCACTGACAATTTATGCTTTCGATCGCCTAAGTAAATCACAATGAGTCGTGTACCATTACATAATCCTTTTCTGATTGATGTTTCTCTAAGCATAGCAGAGATCAAGATTAAGTGTGAACCTATGTGAATATATATCCGAAATTCCAAAAGAAAACTCAATAGCATATAATGTTTTATTCTGTTTTTAGAGATTTGTAAGACTCCATCAGTATAGGAAAGTGTATAAGCATTGATTTCATTGACGATTTCATTTTGTGGTGCAAGTATAGCTCTTTTTGTGGCAAAGTTGTAGAATGCTTTCAATTTTTTTCAGTTCTCAATTTGTACTCTCCACCATTTGTTTGCTTGGTTCTTCATTAATCTCCTTAACCAGTTATACGGATGAGCTTCACGAATTAAGTTGTTGTGATGTGCCAGTATGGTTTTTCTGATATTTTGAAACCCAATAATTACATGAAATCAGTGGCTTATTCATCCCAATTAAAAATATATACATATAATAAAGTTGTATTTTGTGTTCTTACTCGACTCGTTAAATGATTGGGATTTAAAAAAATTTATAGAGTTGGATAAATTTAAAAATTGAGAGATGTGTTAAATTTGGAAAAAAATTGTAGAGAATTCTGTATATTGTGAAAATCTATGAAAGTAAAATATTATAATGATTTTAAGAATGCAAAAAATATATATAGTATTCTCAAAATTTTGTTTTGTGAGTTACATGATTAACAATATAACTTCCAATACACTTATTTTAATAGATTTGTAAGATTGTTAAAATTTAAACTTTTTGAATAACAAGTATTTTTATTAAAAACAAGTATTTAATATAAGATGTTTTACAGTATACTTATATATTAAAAAATTGAAGTATTTAAAATCTAATTTAAATCTAATTTAAATCTAATTTATTACACTATAAATTAAAGTAAATTTAAATAGTAAATATAATTAGGGTGGAGAGCTCAAGGTTGAAGTAAAGAACAGCCTTCCAATGCTCTAGACATTTCATGTTCCTTCCAGACAGCCTCCTTGCCCCAAGTCTTAAGCGCCTGTTTCCTTATTATTTCCTACCCACTGTTCATTTCCAAAGATAAAGCCTCTTGAGTCACATAGTAACTTCCATATACAGCATCATCCCTGCTGCTTTTAGCATCAGCTCGTGGTGAAGCCACTTCATGATTTAGTTCTCAGAATATTGCATCAAGGAGCAACAAAGGTTCTTGAACATGCTCCTCTTCCACGACACACTTAGCTTATCCACCATTGTCTCTTCCTTTATGATCCACAAAGCAGCTATTCTACAGTCTTGAATGGAAGTCTGATGTGATGAACCAGTTGGCAGCTCTGGTGGTCTTGGTGAATGCAACCAGGCGCAAGCGAAGATCCTGAACTTGGGTTTCTCGAATGGTTCTGTCCTGAAGTGTTTCCCGCTTGCTTCCTTGATTGTATCTTCAATTTTCATGGTAGGAGTCAAACATCTTCTCCACCAACAACCCGAGCTCGTGACAGTTTCAGTACCATTGTACAGTAGTTCCCTGACCAAGCCATAGTTTCCGATTTCCTTCGGATTTCCACAGTCACTTTCATCAAGGTCTGTGCAACCCGATATTCAGATTTGAGTGTATACTGTCCATTCCTTGTATAGCTCCAGCAATATGTGTCCCTCCGATGTGTTGCACTAATTGCCATACTCCTTATGAGTTGTATATCAGCAGCATCTACGTAGTTCTCTAACCGGCCCAGATCCCAAGACTTTGTTTCTTGTTTAATAAGATCACTCACTCTCGTGTTGAGATGCAAAACCGGTGCAGATGGTGTTGCTGATCTTGCTGGAATGGCAGGGATCCATGGATCCTCCCATACTTTCACCTCATATCCCGAATATATTTTATGTCTAACTCCCAGCAATAGTAATTCTCGTGCCGCCGATATACTTGTCCACACATACGATGGACTACTAACATTTAGCTGACGCAAATGTGAGCTCAATTGATAATATCGGCCTCTCAAGACTCGAGCTACCAGAGAATCTGGGTATAGAACCAATCTCCATAACTGCTTTGCTAGTAAAGCTAAGTTAAACTCATGAATCATTCTGAACCCAATCCCTCCTTCCTCTTTAGATAATCATAATTTATCCCATGTTGACCAGTGTATACCTCTTTTTAGTGGGTTCGAACTCCACTAAAACTGTGCAATGGCACTAGCTAAAGCATCATAGATCTCCAACGGAAATAGAAAGAAAGATATTACATAATTTGGGAGTGCTAGCACGATCGACTTAATCATCACTTCCTTTCCACGTTTTGATAACCATCTACCCGTACATCCATTTATTCTATTCCTTAACTTTTCCTTTAGGAAAGCAAAAAGCTTGCATTTGGATCCATTGATATTCTCTGGGATTCCCAAATATGTTTCCATCCCTCTTTCATTCTGAATCCTAAGTGTGTCTTAATCTCTTATCTAACATCATATCGAATTCTCTTACCATAAATGATTTATCGAAATTAATACATTATCCTGAAATTTGTCCATATTTTCTGATCACTCTTATTATTTCTTTACATTCATGGGGTTCCACTCTTTTAGATTCCAATTCTTTTAGAAATAAAATTTTTGGACCAGTTAGATACTTAAAATTAAAAAATTTCAGTTTGGTTTGATAAAAAAAAAAGAGTTCGGTTTTGAGTCGGTTCTGGTTAAATTATTTTGGTTCGTGTAAAATGTCAGGCCTAATTATAACAAGTCACCGAGTCGGCCTGATTTTGGTTTGCCTCCGAACACTGACGCATATACAGGCGGTTTTAATTTGTCTTAAAACTTAGCAAATTATACTAAACCTACAAGCGATTAGGGTAACC